CCCTCCCTCCCCCATCCCCCCAAACCCGCATCACCAAACGTCCAATAACTCGGTGGAGATGATGGCTGTACTACTCTAAAATTTACTCAAAGTCACTGAATTGAGTTTTATGGTGTGTAAATTACACCTTATTAAAGCAATAAAAAAATTATTTAAAAAAACCACGTTATGTGAGATGGTGATAAACATTACAGAGAAAAACGATGCCCGGAGGAGGCTGGTGCTGGGTGGCCGAGGGAGCAGGTGGGAACCCACCAAGACAGACGGACCATAGGCTCCAGAGGACGCCAGTGCAGATCCGCCTGCGGGGCCTCAGTGTCCATGTCTGTAGTAACGGCCTGCTTACGGTCCCTGGGCAGGTTCCTGAGGGCCACTGGGGTCTTCATTACCTGTGATGAGGGGCAGCTCCATCGGGGCTCCCAGAGCCCCTTGGCTCCCCTCCCACTCCGTCTCCCTCCCCCCGCTTCCCTGGCCCCTCAGGGTGGCCTTCTGGAAGGTTCACCTGCCGCAGCAGCGCCCTCCCCGGCGGGCGGCCGGCGCCCTTCCCAGCAGCAGCCTCCCGTTGCCCTGGAGACTGTTGTTGCCTGGCGACCCAGACAGTGGGTGGGAGCAGCCGGGTGAGGAAGGGTCCACGGAGGACCTGACACCCAGGCCGCATGCGATCTGCCCAGCGCTGCAGGTATTGGGGGCCACAGAGGGGGACACCTGAAATGCGGATCTACAGCTACACCCTCACCCCAGGCACCACGGCAGTGGGGGAGGAGTGCTCCCCCAGGGAGGGCCAGCAGGGGTGTGCTGCCGGCTGCATTTGCTCCAACATGCTCGGAGGTGGGGGTTTGTAGCGCTCCCAGCTCCTGCCACTCTGCAGGGACCCCAGCCCCTGCGGGCGGCTCTCCTAGCTCGCTTAACCTTTGTCCCCCTTGGATAACCATGCACCCGCCCGGCAGCCTGGCTTGGCGTTGCAAAACGTCTTCACCTATCAGGCAAAACAAGTCTAACCCTGGCCACCGGGAGGTCAGGGCGAGTGGCAGGCTGGGAGCCTCTCGTGTGAGACGCCCCCTGCCGGGCATCTCCTCCCGCTGGGACTGGCTCCTGGCTGGCCGGGTCGGGGACTATTTGCTGGGACCTGGGACACAAGAGCCTCACCAAGGCTCAGGGTATGGGAAGGTGCAGGGCTCACAGATACCCACGCAACAACCCCCCCACCAAGCCCGGCGCTGCCTGCACCCCCAAGCCCACCAGGGGCTCATCTTCTTGTTGAGCTGCCCTGGGGCTTCTCCTGGGGGTTTCCAGGAGGGAACTGGGAAGCCGAGCCATGGCCCTTCGGGTTAGAGGGTGGGGTGGCCACCTGCCCTGGGCTCAGCAGGGTGGGGGCAGCTTGCAGCTCAGCCACTGGGGGGGGGGCAGCATGCAGTTCAGCCATCTGTTGTTGTCACAGCGCAAGCCCAAAGGCAGGCCACTGGGGCCCTCAGGGCAAACCTGTCTTTAAATGCCTGGAAAGTGCTCAGAAACCCTTGAAGTGCCCAGGGCTGTCCTGGAGACGCTGGCCAGGCAGGGTCCCCCTAGGACCAGGGAGGGTTTTCCTCCTTGGTAAACCCCACGGAGGCCCTGGAGGGGCTGGCGGCCAAGGGCTGCCCAACACCAAGGCCAAGCTGTCACCCAGTCTGTGGGAGGATGGCCATGAGCCTCGCAGTTCTCCCAGGGGTGTCTCAGTTCTGCCACTCACCCACCCACCCCCAAAGCAGCTGGCGTCGGGGGGGGGGCACCCACCTGGACAGACCCTCCCCTGGTAAGAGGGGTGCCCCTCATCCAGCATCATGCATGCTCCAAATAAACTCTGGAAGGCTTCCTGGAGGCGGTGGTGGCCTCATGGTGCTGGGTGGCAGGGCCGTGGTACCCACAAGGCACCATAGCCCTGCAGCTTGAGCCTGCAGTCTTAACAAAGGCCTCCAAAGGTGTGTGTGTTTCTGTGTGTATGTATGTGCATGGGTATGCATACGTGTGTGAGAGACTGTGTGTGCATGTCTGCTGCCCCTCCCGGAACATGCTTGCACACCCAACGCCTACAGCCTTGGTCTGATCCCAGTGTCTTCTCAGCCCCGAGGACCTTGGTTCCAGCAGAACCCCTCTCTGTCAGCTCAGGCCTAAGTCAGCACTGGTGGAGCTTAGGAGCCTTTACCTTCTCCTTCTTCCGAGTCCTCTGGGCCTTTTGCTGCCTTAGGGAGGACTGAGTGGGATGGCCGCCATGAGCAGCTGCTCAGGTTGTGCACTGCATAAATTTGCCCCGGCCGAGGGGCCTAGGTAGTGCCTTTGGAAGAGGCAAGAGGTGTCTTGGGGGCTGGTGGGGCTGGGGACCAGTGCTCTGGTGGGGTCAAGCCCCCTGCCCCACCCTCACATGGCTCTCTGCCCACAGGAGTGGCTGAGCAGGTTTGGCTACCTGCCCCCCACGGACCCCACGACGGGGCAGCTGCAGACGCAAGAGGAGCTGTCGAAGGCCATCACCGCCATGCAGCAGTTCGGGGGCCTGGAGGCCACTGGCGTGCTGGGTCAGTCCTCGGGGACGGCGGGGACGGGGCTCCCAGCCTAACCCCCGCTGCCTAGTTTCTCCAACACCCCACCGTGAGCTCTGTCCCCTCTCCCGCCTGCCTGGGAGATACAGCCGGGGATGTGAGACCTCATCACCACCCCTCACCACCTGGCCCCCACTCTGCAGCAGGGCCCCAAACTCGGTGCCTACAGGACCAGGCTGGCCAGCTGGAGACTGTGCCACTGGAAACACACACTCTCCTAGGGCGCTGCCCACGGCCTCCATGAGGCCTGCCCTGCGCCACCAGAGCTTCCAGCTTCCAGGAGAAAGTACCAGAAATCAGGGCATTTGTGTGAGACACCCTGCTTCCTAACTGCAGGCACCGAGGTCTGGTTTTGTAGACACCTGCAGGGGTGGCTGACCAAGCACCTCTCCCAGGCCTCTGCAGCGGCAGACACCTGTGTACGACACATAGAGGCGACAGGTGTGGGTCACCTGAGGGGCAGGAAGCAAGGGCAACGTTGGAGGGAACCTGCCCCTTGGGGATGCGCCATCTTGGCTAGGCCCCTTCTGATTGGTCAGGGCTCTGCTGGTGGCCTTTCTGATTGGTCAGAGCTCAGCCATGGACTTTTGATTGGTCTGGCTCAGCTATGCTCTTTTTGATTGGTCAGGGCTCAACCATGTCTCATCTGACTGGCCAGGGCACTGCCATTCTGATTGGGCAGAGCTCAGCCATGCCCTTTCTGATTGGTCACGGCTCTGCTGCTGACCATTCTGGTTGGCCAGAGCCCATGCGAGAAGTTAGTACCTGTTTTGATGTCGCCCAGCCAAGGTCCATGAGAATACCCCCTCCAGAAGCAGGGATCACATGTGTCCATGTCCGACCTGCAGTGGGGCCCGCGTGGCTAGAGGCCAGGCCTGTCCCCCCAGACCAGTGTGGGAGGGAGGAAGCAGGGGGGCTTGGGGCAGCAGCCAGAGCCTGATGGGATCGGAGCCGGCCCACCTTGACCCCTGCTCATTCCTGCAGACGAGGCCACCCTGGCGCTGATGAAGACCCCGCGCTGCTCCCTCCCTGACCTCCCCACCACGGCCCCCGGTCGACGGAGGCGCCAGGCCCCCACCCCGACCAAGTGGAACAAGAGGAACCTGTCCTGGAGGTGGGCATAGGAGTGGGTTAGGTCCTGGGGCATCAAAACAAATCTCCACAAACTGGGGAGCTCATAACAGCAGGAATTCACGCTGCCACAGCCTGGAGGCCAGACTTCAACTCAGGGTGTCGGCAGGGTTGGCTCCTTCTAGGGGCGCCTTGGAGGAGAACCTTCTTGTCTCCTGCATCAACTGAGCCACCCTCTGTCCTCACAGGGTCTCCCCTCTGTCCTCCTCTATTCTTATAAAAACACTGTCAGCAGACTTAGAGAGTCCTGGGTGGTGCTAACCAAAAGGTTGGAGGTTCGAGTCCACCCAGAGGCACCTCAGAAGAAAGGCATGGCCATCTGCTTCCAAAAATTCATTCACTGAAAACCCTGTGGAGCAGAGTTCTACTCTCACACACGTGGGGTCAACATGAGTCGGGGTTGACTTGGCTGCAACTGGGTTTTGGTTGGTTTGTTGGATTAGGGCCCACCCTAACCCAGAGTGATGCCATCTGGATCTTTACCTAATCACCTCCGCAAAGACCCTGTTTCCAGTAAGTGGCATCCTGAGTTTCCAGGTGGACATGGATTGGGGGGGGGACGACACTATTCAGCCTTCTGCTGTCCCCCAGTAAAAGCTGACTGAGGGGCCTAGTTAATGTATGAGCTGGCTACCACGTGGTCCCTGTTCAGGTGGGAGTGGGAAGGCAGGGCAGGAGGGTGGAGACTGGAGCTGATACTGGTTTGTTGGCCCAGTGGCCTTGGCCCACCTGGACACCACCTCCTAACATCTGTGGAGGCTTGTTGGCCCTGGGTGGGCTCCCAGACCCTCCTGGGAGATAAGCCCTGCATCCTGGAGAAGGGGTAGCAGAGAGGGGTGGGCGCCTGCCCTGGGGACACATATGCATCCCCTCTCAGGGAGATGCTGAGAGAAAGGAGCTCCCTGGGCCTTGCTTACCCTGGGGAGGGTGTCCTAGCAAGGGTACTTTGCCAGGGGTGAGGACCGTGCTCTGCGTGATCACGGGTGCGTCTCCCGTCCCCGCAGGGTCCGGACGTTCCCACGGGACTCGGCCCTGGGCCGCGACACGGTGCGGGCGCTCATGTACTACGCCCTCAAGGTCTGGAGCGACATCGCGCCACTCAACTTCCACGAGGTGGCGGGCAGCACTGCCGACATCCAGATCGACTTCTCCAGGGCCGACCATGACGACGGTTACCCCTTCGATGGCCCCGGCGGCACGGTGGCGCACGCCTTCCTCCCCGGCGACCACCACGCCGCGGGGGACGCCCACTTCGACGACGACGAGGCGTGGACCTTCCGCTCCTCGGGTGCGTCAGGGCTGCACGCGGCGCTTGTGCCCCCCATAGCCGGGGCTCAGGAGAACCCCACAGTGAAAGGGGCTGGACACAGTCCCAGCCCGCCTCGTGGACCACACGGAGCATCGCTGTAGATGGCGTCCGTCAGCCTAGCTTGAGGGTCTCAGGTCCGCCTGCTGACCTTGGCCGGCCGCGCCCATGGGTGTGGTCAGCACGGTCGACGCTGTGCAGAACGGTAGTCGAGCCCTCCCTGAGTGACACACATGGCTGGGGGAACTGGGGACCCCGACCTGAGAAGCCCCTGCAGACCTCGAGCGTCCACCCGAGCGGGGAATGGGCCCTCGAGCTGCATGCGGGGGCCTGCCATCGCGCCCACCCCGCCGCCCCAGTTCTGTGTACGCGCTCCATCCCGGCGCCGCGTGGGCTCCCGCCCCTCCCCCAGGCCCCGGCTCACGCAGCCCCCATCCCCCCCAGATGCCCACGGGATGGACCTCTTCGCGGTAGCGGTCCACGAGTTCGGCCATGCCATCGGGCTGAGCCATGTCGCTGCCGCCCAGTCCATCATGCGGCCGTACTACCAGGGCCCGGTGGGCGACCCGCTGCGCTACGGGCTGCCCTACGAGGATCGAGTGCGCGTCTGGCAGCTGTACGGTGAGCCCCGCCCCTGGGCGTCTGAAGAGGTGGGGAGCCCCCCAGGGGTGGGCCCGCAGTCCCAGCCCAGGTGGAGAGCTGGGGCGTTAGGATGCCGGCACCACAAGTCCGGCGGACCAAGGCCCCGGGCAGGGTCCACACCCATCTCGATGCCCAGAGTCAAGACCGCGGTCCTGGATGGGGTGCCAGGTCCGGGCAGAGTGTTCCACAACCTGCAGGTGTGAACGAAAAACTAAGGACCCAGGTACCTGGGTCCCCAGGGTAACCCGACAATGACCGACAGAGCAAGGTTGGAGCCCCGAGTCAGCCGGAGCCCTGGCTCTGCTGGCATATGTGGGAGGGTCAGACAGACAAGCCCCTGCCCGGGAGTCCAGGGTCCTGGGGGAGACGCACCCTCCTCAAAGGTGGAGATCAAAAATAAATTTTGATTCTGCATCTCCCTGCCCCAGAGGGTTCATATGAGTGGGATCATACAGTATTTGTCCTTTTGTGACTGACCTGTTTCACTCAGCGCGATGTTTCCGAGGATGAGAATATTCCGTTGTGTGCCCACGCCACGTTTTGTTTGTCCATCGTCGACGGCCACTCGGGTTGTTCTCACCTTCTGTTGGGAATAGCGCCGCGGTGAACACCGCTGTGCGGGTTTCTGTTTTCAGACCTTTGGGTGTGGACACAGTGGTATTGCCGGGTGATAGGTACCTCAGTGTTACCGTGTCGCAGGTGCTGTCCTTGTATTGTACTTACGCGTGTCAGTCGTCACCTCCACGGGGCAGGGGTCTTTGCCTGCTCTGCCCGTTGCACGATCCGCAGTGCCTGACTTCGGGGAGGCTCCGTGTGTATCAGCTGAGCGGCCTCGGCTCTCTCCCCTGGGAGTTCCGAGAAGGACCGGGTAGGCTTAGGTGGCGGGTGGTTCTCTCTAGGTTGGATGTGTTCCTTCCTTGTCCCCCACAGGCGTGAGGGAGTCTGTGTCCCCCACTGGACCCCCAGAGCCCGAGGAGCCGCCTCCCCTGCCAGACCCGCCGGACAACCGGTCTAGCGTCCCGTAAGTCAGCTGTGCCCCCACCCGTCCCAGGCAGATATCCCCGAAACAGCGGCTGCGAGTCCGGAGGTTGAGGCTGTTCTGAGAACAGCGTGCCTGTGGGCTGGCTCACCCTGAGTGCTGTCTTGTGTCTTTTACTGAATTTCCTTGAGCAGGGGGAGTAGCCCCTGCTCACCACAGCCAGGGGGCTCAGAGGGGCTGGGTTCAGATGTGCTGACCCTCTTCCCCTTCATTGAGTCAGCTGTTGCTATGGAACAAACACCCCACCTGGCGGCACCAACAAGCACCATTTTATCAAGCTCCTGGCTTCTGAGGGTCAGGAATTTGGGCAGGGCTCAGTGGGGATGTGGTCTCTGCACTTGCTGGGGCCGGGGCAGGCACGGAGGCTGGGGGCTGGAATCCTTGCTGCAGGCGTCCTGAGTCACATGTCTGGTCCCTGGGCCGGGCCGACTCCAAGGCTGAGCTCAGCTGGGATGGTTCACCTGAACCTACACTAGGCTTCTTCATGAGGCTTGGGCTTCCCACAGCATGGCAGCCAGGTTCCGAGAGGGAGTGTCCCACGAGGGCACTCAGAGCTGGCTTGGCCAGGCCAAGTGGAAGCAGCCTGTGTCACCTCAGCCAAACCCCACCGTTAAAGCAGACAGCCCACACAGATTCCAGGAGGCACACAGACTCCACGCTCAGTGGAAGAAGGGTTACAGAATTCAGCCCTTGTTTTTAAACCACGTCCCCTGCTCCATTCTCTGGCCCTCCTCCCCGCACGCCGGCCCAGTCACCAGTGTTAACAGCCTTTCATGCTCATGCAAACACACACGTGCACATACTTAGGTCATGTTATAGTTTTATTTTTTCCCTTTGCTGTCAGCTGTGGGATGGATGGGTCTGTGCTTTTCTTCTTAGCTGTGTATCGTGAATTTCTTTCACCGTCAAAAAATACTGCCACAACTGCTTGCTTCTTAATCTGACTTATTTACTAAGTAATACACCCCGAGGATAAATCAAAAGAACACAAAAAACATGCAGTGAAATGTGAGCTCTTCTCACCCCTGACCTGCAGCACCAGTCCTGCCCCCAGGGCCAAAGTTTTGTGAATCCTTCCAGAGATTTTCCATGCGGTATTAAGGAAATGCGCCTTTGAGCCCACTGGGGCGTGTCAGGCCCTGCCCTGCATTTAGCACCTGCCCTCAGTGCCGCTGGGAAACATTTTGGGGTCAGCACGTGGAGAAACGCCTGGCTCTGGAAGAGCTGTGTGATGCTCTGGGGTGTGAACGGGCTGTACTGTAGTTTTTCATTTCTCTGCTGGGCATCTAGCTTGGTTCTGATCTTTCGCCGTTATAAACAATGTTGCCGTGAACACGCTTCCCACAGATGTTTGTGCAGGTGGCTGTAGGGCCGAGTTCTGGAACCAGAACTGGGAGGACAGCTAGCATTTTGGTTGAGAAAAAAAAACAGTTGCCATGACGGAGACTCATGGAGACCTCGTGTGTATTAGAGTAAGTCTGTGCTCCAGAGGGTTTTCAGTGACTGATTTCCACCAAGGCGCCTCTGGGGCACTCGCACCTCCAACCTTTTGGTTAGCAGCCGAGTGCTCAATCGTTTGCACCATCCAGGGACTCCAGCAATCTTTTGGCACTGATTTGACACAGTGCCAAATCGCCTTCTCAGGTCTTCGCCAACCCGAACGCCATAAGCGGGCTCCCTTTCCCGTTTGCTTTTATTATGCAGCTCCTCGCACTGCCCCTGAGCCCTATTGTGGGTCACAGAGCCTCGCAGACTGGCCTTTTCCACGGTCCTGCTGGGGAGGGGCCTGCCCGCCCCCCAGCCACCACCCCTCGGCCACCGACCCCACTGGGCCTGCCTCGGTCCTTGCCCTTTCTCCACCCCGCCCCCAGCACGCCCCGCCCCGCCCCTCCCACCGGCTCTCTACCCCGCCCCGGCTTCGCCCCGCCCGCTGCACACACCTTCCCGGCTCTCGGTCTGCAGGGCCAGGAAGGACGTGCCTCACAGGTGCAGTGCACACTTCGACGCGGTGGCCCAGATCCGCGGGGAAGCCTTCTTCTTCAAAGGTAACGGGTGGGGGGGCGGGGGCGACAGGTGGGTTAGGGGGCGTGTCCGCCCTGGCCCAGACCCCAGACCACAGCGGCCTGCAGCCCCCGCTCCCTGCCCCTGCAGGCAAGTACTTCTGGCGGCTGACCCGGGACCGGCACCTGGTGTCACTGCGGCCGGCGCAGATGCACCGCTTCTGGCGGGGGCTGCCGCTGCACCTGGACAGCGTGGACGCCGTGTACGAGCGCACCAGCGACCACAAGATCGTCTTCTTCAAAGGTGGGCCTTCCCGGCCAGCGTCCGCTGGGGCCGGAGCAGAGAGCAGCAGCCTGTGCGCTTGACCTCTTCGTGCTAAGCACCCGCACCGCAGTTGTAGGCCCAGAGCAGACAAAGCAGAGGCAAGCTGCCAGCTCCCAGCGGCGCGCCGTGAACCCCACGCCTGAGGTGGCATCAGAGGCGCTCTGTGAGATGAGGAAGTAGAAGGACGAAGGAGGGCCTGTGGGCCGGGAAAGCCTCCTGAGGAGGGGCAGGGGAAACAGTGTTCTAGCCGAGGGAACAGCCAGTGCAAAAGTCCTGGGGCACAGCGAGCGTCCAAGGCTGGTCAGCAGGCAGGGTCCTTGTGAGTGTGATGGAAGCCCAGGAGCTCACTGATCTGGGCCCAGTTCCACTAGGGAGGTGCTCTTCCACCCTCTGACGGCTCCCAGGGCTGGGCTGGGTCGAGGCCGGGGGAGATGGAGCCTGCTCTGGGAGCGCCTGTCTCTTTGTGGGGAGGGGCCAGGAAGCAGGAGACAGAGGGGTACTGAGCCTGTAAGTCCTGTGGTGCCTGGGAGCTGTGAGGTTTCTGTGGTGACATGCTGACTGTTGTTACATGTGGCCTTGGGCTTTGGGGCAGCAGGGTCCCGACCCCCCCACCCCGTATTGTCTGGTGGGCACTAGGTGAAGCTGCCCTCATGCCCTGGACCCAGACCCTCCACCCCAGCCACCCTTGAGTGGGGCCAAGGGGCCTGAGCCCATTGCATTTGGACCCCCCACAGCCCAGCTGGTGCCCTCCCGCATTGACAAAGGACACTGTCTCCCAGACTGGCTGCACCCTGCTTGCTTTTACATTTGAATTTAAAAATGGAAATGTGAAAACTGGGAGCCCCGTGTAGCATCCAGGTCCCCAGCATCCCTGATGCTGTGATCTCACCGGCTGCTCCTCCCCTGCTCACCCGCCCACTCGGTGCCCCTGACGCCGAGCGCGGTGCCCACTGCCTTTATTGCTGGGCATGCCTTCGAGTGGAGCTGTTTTCGTCTGTCGAAAGTGACAAAGCTGAGAGTATGACAGGTGTGGGAATGTCCCACAGCCACATCCTACCAAGTATCACAGACCGGGGCTGAGAACAATGCAGTGTGTCCTCTGTGCGCTCTGGAGGCCGGGAGTCCAAAACCAGGGTGTTGGCAGGGCCGCGCTCCCTCCCAGGGCTCTAGGGGAGGATCCTTCCTTGTCTCTTCCAGCTTCCGCTGGCCCGGGCAGTCCTGGGCTTGTGGCCACGTCACTCCATCTCTGCCTCAGTCTTCCCGTGGCCGCCTGCTCTCTGTGCGTCTCTGTGTCTTTTCTTTTATGAATCATTGGCTTAAACCCAAACCAAACCCACTGGTGTCAAGTCGATTCCAACTCATAGTGGCCCTATAGGACAGAGTAGAACTACCCCATAGGGTTTCCAAGGAGCGGCTGGTGGATTTGAACTGCCGACCTTTTGGTTAGCAGCTGGGCTCTCAACCACTGCACCACTGGGGCCCCAGTCGTTGGATTAGGGCCCCCTTAATCCAGGATGACCTCATCGTGACCTGACCCATCACACCTGCAAACACCCTATTTACAAATAAGTTTTCGTTCTGAGGTTTTGGGTGACAAGAATTTGGGGGGGAACACTATTCAACCCACTCCAGGATGTATTCCCACACAAATGGGAGAGACTGTGTTTCTTTGAGGAGGTAAAGAATGTTCCAGCACCTTTATTTCGCAGCGGCCTTGCCGCTCCTTTAGGTGACCTACCAGCCTCGTGGGCGGGTGTTGAGTTTGGCGACCATGAACCAGCTGTGAGCTTCCAGGGCGACCACTCCACTGGCTGCCTGGGGGCGCCTGGTTTTCTCCCAAAGGCACAGCCGTAGCCTCTGAAGCCCGCGGGAGCTGCCCAGAGGGACCCTGCAGTGTTTCCACATCATTCCACCACCACTGAGAAAAAGTCAAAGCCCCCTAAGCTAAAATTCCTCTTTTCCCCCTCCCTCCCGCCCCTGGTAACCGCTAACAATGTTTGACTTCTATGCGTTTGCTTATTTCATAAACGTGAGATGGTGTAGTATTCGTCCTGTTGCAGCTGACGCTCCGCTCGGCGTGACCTTGGCGCGGCCCGTCTTTGTTGGGGCGCCCATCAGGACTTCATTTCTCTTTGTGGCTGAGTCACGTCCGCCGTGTGTGTGCCCCGCTGTGTTTGTCCATTCCTGCTGATGGACGTTTGCGCTGTGCCCACCTTCCGCCTGGTGTCTGCACGGCTGCCGTGGACTCTGGTGGACAGGCTTCTGTTTGCCTTCCTACTCCCCTTGCTTTTTTCACTCGTCGATATATCTCAGGGTCTGCTTGGTGTCTGTCCATAAAGAGCCTGCTCATTCTTTAACCTTTCTCTTTGAAAAAGAATCCTACTTTCCAGAAAGATTTCAAAAACGTGTCGTCTAGGTTCACCACTGGTTAACGTATTGCTCCATTTGCTTTACTTTTCCCGCGTACACTCACACACCTCGATTTTCCTGGACCGGTTAATGGTAAGCTGCCAACGCCGACCCAAACGTGTGCATGTCTCCTGAGCACAGAGACGGTGGACCTCAGGCGCTTGGTACTGTGTGATGCGGTCACCTAACCCACACACTGTGTCCACGCTTCAGCACTTGTCCTGGCCATGTGTTGCTGAGCCATGTCCAGGACCACACAGAACATACCGGCATCTCATCAATGCCTTCCATCTGGAGCTGCGTCCTCCTCCAGGATCCTCTTGGCACACTCAGAACGTCCAGTCCAGCATCCCTCATGTGGGCCTGCCTTGGGCTTCCTTGTGGGCAGGCTTCCTGATGTGTGCAGTTGGTGGGGACATCTCAGAGGTGACGTGGTCTCTGCCATCCTCCCAGGGACATGCGCTGCCTGACAGTCACCTCGATGCGGGTGTCTGCTTGGCTCCTCCACTGTAAAGCTAGCACACCCCCACCCTCCCCGTGCTGAATACATCACACGTGGGGAGATCCCTGAGCCCATCTTGCTGTGGATTGATTGTGTCTCCAGAATATGCATGGGAATCCGATTCTGCGGATGAGTATCCTGTTTGGAGATGGGGTTTTTGTAACGTCAGTAAAGCCACGTCAGTGTAAAAACCAAAACCAAACCCATTGCTGTCGAGTGGATTCCAACTCATAGCGACCCTATAGGGTAGACTAGAACTGCACCATAGGGTTTGCAAGGGCGGCCGGTAGATTCAAACGGCTGACCTTTCACTTAGCATCCAATCTCTTAACCACTGGCATGAGGGCTCCGTGCCAGCGTAGCGTGTGTCTGAATCCCAATCTCTTCTGAGTTATAAAAAGCAGATTAGACACAGAGGTGGTCAAGCGAGGAGGAAGACAGACGACTTGTTAGGATGGCCAAGAACCAAGGAATGCCCGGGGCTACCGGTGAGGAAGGAATCAGCACGTTGGAGACTCTGATTTGGACTGCTAGTCTCCAGAGCCGTGAGAAGATAAACGTCTGCTCGTTAAAGCCACCCACTGTGGCATTTGAGACTCAGACACCCCATGAGCAGCTTCCTCCCACGACCGTCCACGCCTGGTCAGCTCCGAACTCCTCTGGCAATTTCTGCCAGCTTCCCAATTCTGCGTTTCCTCGGCCGGAGGTCAGCTGGCCTCAGTCCTGTTCCTGGCCCCGCCTCTGCCGGGACGTTTGGGGGTCGGCCCCCTCTGTTTAACCCCCTTCTTTCTTGCGGATGTTAGCTTACTCCTCGTCTGAGGTGAAGGATTGTCACGGGTCTTGCTTCTGTGTTGAGTCGAGCAAAGGTGTGAGGGTCGCACGGTGCCTTTCTCATCTGTGAAGATCTCCCAGCCGCTTCGTGATGGGAGTTTATGCGGCAGGAGCAGCAGCAGGGGCTTCTCTCGGGAGGGTGGCTTGTCCCAGCTCTCCAGCTCTCTGTCAAGGGGTTGCCACGATGGAACCCATGTCCCTGTAGAAGGACCCTGTTGTGAGGTGAATTGTGCACATCCTGACCTCCGACACCTGTGAACATGACCTTGTTTGGAAAGAGGTTCTTTACAGGTGTCATCAAGTTACCGTGAGGTCATGCAGGGGGAGGGTGGATCCTGATCCTACGTGACGGTGTCCTCATTAGAGAAGACACACAGAAAAAATGGCCGTGTGAAAATGAGGCAGAGATGGGAGTGATGCAGCCACAAGCCGAGAATCACCTGGGCCGCCAGAGACTGGAAGAAGCAAGGAAGGATCCCCCCTAGAGCCTCCAGAGGGAGCGCAGCCCTGTGGCGCCCTGCCCTCAGGCTTCTGGCCTCCAGGTTGTGAGAGAAGAGACCCCCGCTGCTGTGAGCCTCCTCGCCGTGGTCCTTGGGGACGGTGGCCCCAGGACACTTGCACAGACACAGGGCTGGTGCTCAGGAAACATGCAGGGAGGCATCTGTGATTGTGATGGGGTCCTCACCGGGGCCTCAGTGGAAGCCGCAGGCCCCTCCGTGCCCAGGTGGGGCAGCCATTGTGGGGAGGTGGGGAGGGCTGGAGCCCCCGCCCCACAGGGTGGGGTCGGAGCGGCACCCCGGCATTTACTTAAGCATCCTCTCTCGCCCCCAGGAGACAGATACTGGGTGTTTAAGGACAATAACGTAGAGGAAGGATATCCACGGCCCATCTCCGACTTCAGCCTCCCGCCGGGCGGCGTGGATGCCGCCTTCTCCTGGGCCCACAATGACAAGACTTATTTCTTTAAGGACCAGCTGCACTGGCGCTATGATGACCACATGCGGCGCATGGACCCCGGCTACCCAGCCCAGAGCCCCGCGTGGAGGGGCCTCCCCAGCGCGCTCGATGACGCCATGCGCTGGTCTGATGGTGAGTGCCAGCCCTCGCCTGGAGCACGGGGTCTGACGGCCGGGGGAGGGCTGGCCGAGCCGCACTGGGCGCGGAGTCAGTGCCGTGGGGTGGACCCCCGTCTGCCTGCGGTGCTGCGGGCCGTCCCGTGGGCCCTACAGCTCTGTGACCCCACATCCTCACCTCCTCCCTCCTGCTCCTGCCTCTGGCTGCCTCTGGGACCCACCAAACACGTCCAGCCCCAGGGCCTTTGCGTCTGCTGTGCCCTCCTCCCAGACACTGGGCGTTCCCTCTGTTACCTGCTCCGTCAGCTGTGCAGAGGCCTTCCCAAGCCGGTCCCCAGCCTCACGCACCCTTCCCTGCACGCTCAGCCCGCCCGACAGCGCACAGATACGCCCGCCTGCGACAGGGCTGGTGTCCTGAGGGCAGGAAGTTTTTGTCCCCGTTTGTTTTCAGTGCTGCGCCCCAGCACCTAGGACGGAATAGCCACCAGTTGACCAGGTGCCATGGAGTCAACTCTGACCCATGGTGACCCCACATGTGTCAGAGTAGAACCGTGCTCCAGAGGGTTTTCTTGGCCGTACTCTTAATGGAGGCAGGTTGCCAGGCCTTTCTTCCACAGCACCACTGGGTCAGTTCAAACTGCCAACCTTTAGGTTACTAGGTGGGCGCAAGCTGTTTGTGCCCACCTAGGAACCCTGTTGCCGCTGAGTTGATTCTGACTCACGGCGACCCCGTGTGTGTCAGAGAGGACTGTGCTCCATGTTCTCAAGGCTACGGTCTTTTGGAAGGAAATCACCGGGTCTTTCTTCCCACGCACCTCTGGGTGGACTTGAACCTTCAGCCTTTTGCTTTGCAGCTGAGCGTGCTAACCATCCACACCACCCAGGGACAGAGTAGGCAGCCCTCCTGACGCACCTAGTAGGGGAGGAAGGCCCAGTAGTCGTCACCTCCATCCCCTGCCTGCAGGCACGCTGCTCCTGAGCTCGCCAGGCCTGTGAGGCACTTGGTGCCCCTGTGTGCTGACCCCGCTGAGCGTCTCCGCCTCCTCCACGGGCCCTGCAGCTTCCTGCTCCCCGGCTCCTCCAGCTGTCTAGCCGTAGTCCTTCCTGCTGTCTAGCTGTAGTCCCTCCTGCGGCAGGCCAGGCTGAGCTTTCCTCCTGTCCCCACCCCAGGTGCCTCCTACTTCTTCCGTGGCAAGGACTACTGGAAGGTGCTGGATAGCGAGCTGGAGGTGGCACCTGGGTACCCGCAGTCCACGGCTCGGGACTGGCTGGTCTGTGGGGACCTGCAGGCCAGCAGCCACGAGGGTGTGGGCTCGGACCGTGAGGACAGGGCCCACGCCCAGCCGGGCCAGCACGACCAGAGCCGCTCCGAGGATGGGTACGAGGTCTGCTCCTGCACCTCCCTCGCCTCCCCGCTCCCCAAGGCCCCGGGCACGCTGCTGGCCGCCACATTGCTGCTGCTGCTGCTGTTGTTGCTGCTGCCGCCGCCGAGCTTCCCGTGGACAGCAGCCCAGGCCCAGGCCCTATGACAGCTGGGCTGGCCTGAAGGAAGAGAGGGCCACCTAGGACACAGAGGACCAGGACACGCCCCACCAGGGCCCGAAGCAGGAGTTTCTAGACATCAGCCCCCCGTGTGGAATCAGGAAACTAACCTTGCAGATAAGGGTGGGCAGTTACTAGCCCATGATCCAGGCCCACTGCAGCCTCCTGGGGATTGAAGTGGCCAGCAGAGGGCGCCATTGCTCCAACAGGGCTGATCTGGACATTGAACCTGCGGATGAAGCAGGGTGGGAGGGCAGGGAGCTGTCCTCTCAGGCAGGGAGTGACTGGATCACAGGGACCTTGGCTGATGCACAAAGTGGTGTCTGCCCCGGGCCAAGGGACAGGGCTGGGAGATGTTAAATCAGACCACAGCTGCCACCAGCCTTCCACAGATTCACCCCCACCTTGTCAGCAGCTGGGGCTGGGCGGGTAGCACCCCGTCTGCGTGTGCACACTGCCGCCCCTGGTTCTCTTGCCGCCGCCCACGTTAGAGGCTTCTGGCGGCCATGCCTCAGGGCACCTCCCCCCCGACCAGTGAGCCCCTGGCTAGGCCACAGTCATCTCCCCTTGTGACACATTTCACAGAAACACGACCTCCTGCTTCGTACAGGCTCGTGCCTCAGCTCTGTGGTGCACTCGGACACAGCGGCAGGTGTCCTTCAGGGCCTCCAGAGGCTCCACCCCAGACCCCCTGGGCTGCGGGCAGCGGGGGCTTCCGGAAAGGCCTGCGTTCATCAGCACCTTCTCGTCCAGCGTCTCCTTCAGTCCGCTGCCCTGTGGGGTTCTTAGACCCATTTCACAGATGGGAGAGGTGAGGCCAGAGCGGGAAACCAAGTCTCCAGCCTGGAGGCCAGGGTTGGGCTAAGCAGCTGCATCCGACTCGTTCCATACACTTTACCCTCCCTCACAATCATTGCCTGAGCACATACTGCTTGTCGGACACCGCTCCTGGGGCCTCCATTCCTGGGGGTCACTCAGCCTGCTGCCTGCCAGCGCCGTCACAGCCTAAGCTGCTGAGCACCAGGGAGGTCGTTCGCCCCACAGGAAGCCGAGGCAGTGTCCGGCCTGGCCAGTTCAGGGCCCCGGCTCCAGCCATCTCTGCTCCGGTCAGCCCAGGCCTGCCCTCCTGGTCCATGACTGTTGGCCCTCACACCAGGGAGGCAGAAATTGGGGTTGCATCATTCCCTGATGCCCTTTTTCCTTAATTTGCAAAGACGACCACTCCTGGGAGCCCCACTCTCCCCTGGCTGCCAATCTGGATCTCACTGTGCTCACACCCCATCCAAGCCAGGAGGTGGAACTGCCGTGGCTGCTTTACGTATGTCTTCCTGGGGTACCGTTCACTTTGGGGGTGATCCTTTGGCAGGGCTATCCCTGGCATCACGAGGCCTCTGATGTTCATTGGCCCACTGGCTAACTGCCCTCGCTGTCATGGTAACAACCCTAAGTGTCCTGGGGTGAGGGCACCACCTGGGTGGAGAGCCTCTGGCTTAGACTAATCACATCTCCACAGGGCAGAGGGGCCTTCTAATACCTACAACCAAAGCGGGGGTCGTTTAAGACCAAAAACCAGTTGTCATGGCGTCTACCCCGACTCATGGCAAGCCTGTGTGTGTCAGAGTAGAACTGTGCGCCATACGGTTTCCATTGGCTGTGTCCTTTCGGAAGTAGATCACCAGGCCTTTCTTCCAAGATACCTCTGGCGAACTTGAACTTCCAGTCTTCCGGTAGCAGGCGAGCGCATTAACCATTTGCACCACCCACAGACAGGGTTCAGGATGAAAGGGACGGTAGCTGCGGTGAGCAACGGGTAACCATCAAGGAAATGATGCATTTCATGAGTGAGGCAGAACACGTGGGGTGATCGAGGGTGGCTGGGGCTTCTGGAGAGCGGGGGTTCTCAGGGTCCAAGGAGAGCAGTTGCGGCTATGGAGCTGCCAGCACTCACGCAGGCACTGCGGTGGGAGGGGGGCAGGGCTCGCAGACCCCTGAGACGTTGGAGTTCCTTCGCTGCGTGCAGAGGTGTTGACGGCGCCTCAGCCCCACCCCTGAGCTCCAGGGAGGGTGCAGAGTTCCCAAGTCGAAGATTAGGGAGGAGCTGTCTACAGCCCACGAGGTCGCTGATCTCACGTACGTGACGCCCAGGTGGCAGAGACTGGCCCAGACCCTGGCTGTCCTGAGGCCAGACTCCCCCACAGGGCCCTGGGCAACTGCCAGGGGGCTGGTGGCTGCTATTGGCTGAGCGAGCGCCGAGCCAGCTCCTGTGCTCACCCCTCCGAGGCAGGCCAGGCCACCTCCCGTGTCCATCTGTCCACCATCTGGTCCCTGGAGCGGGAGCATGAGGGGACAGGCCGCCTCCTGGCCGTTGAGGACTCCCTGTGTCCTGCCTGCAGCAAGCACTTTCCCTCAGTTGTCCCCTCATCCCCCAGTGGGGGTGGAGCCAGGTACAGATGGGAGCCACCTTCCAGGTTCCCGAGGTGCCCAGGCCACGAAGCCCCCACAGGACCCACCTGTTGTTGGTAGCATTACTGTGGTTTTAAAACTGAAACTCGGTAACAATTTTGTAGCAGTTTTACCTCCTGTGAAGAAGTAAAGAAAGATAGCTGCAGACATGGTGTTTGCATAAACATCCACCACCTGCGCAGCCCAGCTCCGTCTACACGGTGAGTCTGCGTCCACCATGGAGGACAAAGGAACCGCGACAGCAAGCAGCTAGAGCAGCTGCTCCACCAGGGCTGTGAACCAGGGGCCTGAATCCACCCATGGAGGCACTGGCCAGACCCTCTGGCTCTTTACGTACGAAAGTATTTTTAAAAATAATCTCATATTTACAAAAAAATTGGAAGAATACAGGGAACCTATTTCTACCTGAATCATTGACAGCAAATTGAACAATCTGATAGCCCATCACCCCCAAATACTTGTTGTGTGCTGTCAAGTCGATTCCCACTCATGGTGACCCTATAGGACAGAGTAGAACTGCCTCCTAGGGTTTTGTAGGCTGTAATCTTTACGGAAGCAGGTCGCCAGGTCTTTCTCCCTCAGAGCCACTGGGTGGGTTTGAACTGTCAACCTTTCAGTTAGCAGCCAAGCATTTAACCGCTGCACCACCGGGGCTCCTTCTGGAATCCTTAGTTCTGTGTATTTCTTCCCGACAAGGACAGTCTCCCAAGGTCGATGGCTGGAAGGGTACAGGGCTACCTTGAGACACTCAGTGCTCGGGCGCGGGACGGTTCCGCCATTTGTCCCAACAGCACCCTCTCAGTGAGAGGCTCTGGCCCAGGATGATGCATTCCATTCCGCTGTCCTGTCTGGGTCTCAGTCTTCCCTGGACTTTCACGACCTTGACCTTTGACGTCGGCACTGTGCGGTCCCAAGCGGTTATGTTGCGTGCCTGATATGCCTGTGGTTAGATTCAGGTGATGCGACTTCGGCAGGAACGTCGCGGGGAGATCCTAGCACACGGTCTGGGTGTTCACCGTTATGTGTCTGACGACGGCAGCTGAGGTTTACAGATGAAGCCTCTATTTCTACCTGGGCTGTGCTGGCTCTAGGTCCCTGGGTGGTGCAAACAGGTTGGTGGTTTGAACTCACCCAGCGGCACCACGGAAGAAAGGCCTGGAAATTTGCTTCCATAAATATTTCAGCCAAGAAAACCCTACGGAGCACACTTACCTGACACACAGGAGGTCACCATGCGTTGGAATCAACTGTATGGTAGTGGGTTTGGTGTTTGTTTTTTTTTTTTTTTTGGTTTGCCGCTCTCTGGCAGCCACACAGTGAGTCCTGACTCGAGCCACACCAGCGAGGGGCAGGGGGGGCGCTGGGGCCAGCCTGGAGGTCCTGGTGCTTGCTAACCTCAGCATGACTCACCCTTGGGCGTGTACAGGAAGATAGGAAGATCCCTGTGTTCGTGGGTGTGGAGCACACACACCCAGGTGCGTTTGCAAAGCACATCTACGTGACCTCACCGGCCAGGACACACTGCTCTAGCTCTCATCTTACTGAGGCACAGCGAGGGTGGGCCAGAACACCTGGCTGCACAGCACCTGCATGGCAGGGGGACCGGGGCTGAATCTCTCTCTGGGCCTCTTTGCACCACCCCCTTGCTGGCCCCGCAGCCCCTGCCCTCCCTCGAGTCTACCAAGGCTGGGCTGGCTGACCCCAGCACCCACTGCCCACCCTGCACTTGTCTGGTTGGCCCTCTTCTCCTCTGCTAGAGGAGACATTTCCCAGGATGAAGATGTGGTGTTTGGCTCAAGGCTGGGGGCCCAGCACCTACAACGGTATGTTGAGTGAATAATTGAACACAGAGACACTCTGGGTGGACTCAGGGCCCTGAGGTTTGGTCAAGGCCTTCTTCATGGGCTGCCTTGGAATTCCCAAGACCCTGGCCTGGGGAGGGTGATGGTCCATTTGTTGTCCTGAGCAGGACACCTCAGAGGGTGATGGGAGGTGCTAGTGACAATCCGTGGGACAGTGGGGTGACCCTGGCTGCCCCAGACAAGCCTGGACGAGGGCCCTGCCCTGGGCTCTGAACCTGACTGTGGGTTAGAACCCTTGGGAAGCGGGAACAGACCCCGGCAGGCCACCAGAGCTCCTGACTTAACTACTGCCTCTCTGTCCGTCACAGGCAGACCTGGTGGGAGTGTCCATATTGGGCACGAGGGGTTACAAGTTCGAGGAGCACAGGCGGGTTCTAGAAACCCCATGTGTGAGGCAGAATAGACCAAACAGGGAGGTCGGGGTGGCCCACCGTAATCCGTGTCCCTGTTGGGTAAGCAGGAACTCTCCACCTGCCACGCCTGTTTGTTTATGCATGTCTGTGGCTGTGCCCCAAGGCCACAGAGTGGACCGTCTTTGCTGCCTGGCATTTGGCTGGCCCAAGATAGAGGACACAGTGTTGCATGTTGGAGGCACTCACTTCACAGCACATGTGGGAAGAGAAACAAATACCAACGTGGGGAGGGCCATGGGGGTGCGAGCAGGGTGTGGGGAACGTCACTACTGGAGCACAGGGGCCAGAGGAGGCCCTGTACCCAGTGTGGTGCCCGAGGGGTATGTGAGGGCAGGTAGTGTCACCTGGAAGGCCGGTAGAACCAGGGGGGACTCCAGGCCATCTCATTGCAGACGCTGTTGCAATCAGCTCCTGTCTTGGAGCAGCCCAGGTCAGTGAGGCCTCCGTTTCCGGATGGTCCCCAGCTCAGACCTCCAGCACCCCCTCTCCTGGGCTCTGGGCCCTCTGCCCTGGAGCTGTCGTGAGCTGCTGCGTGGTGCCAGCAGGCCACCTCCCCTTCCTGGGCTGTCCTGCCACCTGCCAAACAGCCTGGGGACGAGGGCTCTCAGCTCTGCCTCTTGTAGTCCTCAGCGGTGCGACCTGAGATGTGGCTTAACCTCTCAAGTGCTTCTGGCTTACATCGGGGCTAACAGGACTGACCCAGGCGGTGGGTCAGATGAGCACATGCACTTGGGCGTTCGAACCCTCCCTTCACACAGCAGGTGCGGCGCGGGATTCGCTGTCTTGATCACTGTTTTTCTGAGTCTGGGATGCACTTTGTCCACAGGAAATCAGGACGTCTTACCTTCATCGGGGTCCCAGTCCATAGAAGATGAACAGGCCCGTCCACTGGCGTTCTCTTGATTTGCTGGAGCACGGAATTGTTACTAAGCTCAACCGTACAGTGTGGTAAAAATCCATCCGGGCGGATGCTGGGAAGTGCTTTGTAAACGGAACCAGTGTTAAGTGATACTTGAGGGGCCTGGGCTCTGGGACCCCCGCCGCAACCCGTTAGCTGCCCCAGAGCAGGTTCCGGGAGCACCATGGGCTTTTTCTGTGGTCTCAGGGACCCTGAGGGGTGAGCAGATGGTCATGAAGCTTGCATTGTAGGGCCAGAAGAGAGCCATAAATAAGACCTTTAGAGGAGGGGATGAGGTCATGTTAGACGGTGGTCAGGGAAGGCTTCCTGGAGGAGGTGACGTTGAGCCGAGAGCTGCATGATGAAGGAGCTGCCGTGGGGGGTCTGGGGGAGAGCGCCCTGGCAGAGGGAGCAAAGATCTTAAGGTTGGAGCAAACTCAGCACGTCCTCAAGTTCAAGGTCACACGGCTACAACGGGAGGAGCTAGGATTCCAGCCAGGTCCCAGCTCCAGGGTCCAGGTGCACCCGCTGGAGGGTAGGGGGAGGCAGGGGGAGGGGCAGCTCTGGGCCTGGGCATCTGGAGGTGGGGGAGACAGGTGGCTGGAGGGGGACAAGGGATACGGTGGGGTCACATGTGACCATCCCTTCGGAAGGGGCCGTACTGGAGACCAAACACTGTCCAATGGGCAGATTTCCCTCCAACGTGGCAACAGGCAGCTGGCCTTCCAGGCTCCCTCCAGCATGCCGCCAAACACCAGATGCCTTTCCATGCCTGTGAGGCGACTGAAAATACCATGGCTTGGGTCAAGTGCACCTTCGTCCTCAGAGTGACATCTTTGCTTTTCATCATTTTAAAGAGGTCTTTTGCGGCACATGTGTCCGATGCATTACATCGTTGTTTTGTTTTTTCCCCGAATCCTCCTGAGACGCTGTCAATCTGAAGTGACAAATGACAAACTGGAGACGGCCAGCCTGAGGCTGTTGGGCGACCCTTGCCCCCCCATTTGTCCCCCAGAGGTGCCAGTACAGACAGGCCCCGCTGGTGGGTCTCAGAGGACGTTGATACAAGATTATCCAAACAGTGATAATGGTTGCCCAACATGAAGAATGCAATCAATGCCGCTGGATTATACATGTAAAAATGACTGAATCGGCAGATGTTTTGTAACATATTTTTACCACAAAAAGAAGTTTTTTAAAAAACGATTATCCAAAAAGATAGAATCGTGACCCTCACACAGATATAAAGATGAGGAGAGGTTAAAGATTTTGTTTTCTGGTTAATCCAGGAGAGGCTCAGGTACAGGTTATCTTGGTTCAAAAAAACAGACACCTGTCAAACAGGAACCTAATTTGCTGTGTAAACTTTCACCAAAAACACAATAAAATATTTTTCGGAACAAACAAGGAGGAAGAACAGACATCTTTATAGGTAAGGGAAATGGAGTGAATGATGGAGAAAAATCGTTTTTCCCAAGGGTGGAAGGGAAGATAATTGAACCTCTATCAGATAAGATAAGAAGTTACAGGTCTATAACCTGCTTATCGCTTAGTAAAATAGTTCAAAGACAATGAAGGGGATCTGATAGCCACCCCCACGCTCAGCTCCTGATGTCTGTTGCAGAAGCATAGTTTTCCAAGGAAACACAAGTTTTTCCACATTACGAGTCCATTTTTATAAAGTCCACGAACAAGCAAAGCTGGAGAACATAATGTCTCGGTGTATGTGTCTAGGTGTTAAGAGTATTTTGCAATGAAAACATCTGACGGGTGAACCTCACAGAGGCAACGCTGCATGAAAAGAAGCCAGATACAAAGGAGAACACACTGCGTGATTCCATTTCTGCGAAGTTTGAGAACAGGCAAAACCACTCTATGGGAGAGGGTTCCGGGTAGTGGCTCCTTGTGGGGAGTGACGGGCTGGGGCTGGGGGGGACACGAGGGGTTCTCTGGGGTCTGGAAATGCCCTACATCTTGAGCTGGGCGGTGTGTAAACACGTGTACATGTTGTAAAAATTCAGCGAGCTGAAAGCTAAAGGTTAGTGCACTTGACTGCGTGTAGTTTTTCCAGGAGCGTTTTTCAAGCACAGAAAATAGTCTAACAAGTAGTCATACGCGTGTGTGCATTTAATCATTGTTGACATTTTCCCATACGGCTTCCTTGATTTTTGTTTTTGTGGAAGTAATTTTAACGTAGAATGCAGACCTCGTGACATCACTCCTAAATGCTTGGTCTACCTCTCTGAAAATAAGGACATTATCTTACCTAACGACAATATCACTGTCACATTTTGAAAAATGAACAATAATTCCTTAATGTCTTTCATACCTGTTCCATATTCAGATTTGCCCACTTGTGCCCCCAAAACGTCTTTACAGTGGATTTGTTCAAACAGGGGCTCGATCCACAACCATTCACTACATTTATAAATCTCTTTTCATCTACAACAGCCCCCTACTCTTTCTGATGACTTAATGTGATCAGCACTTTTAACAAAGTAAAACGGGGTGAAATGATGAAGATCAGCTGGCTGTGTGGGGGCGGTGAGTGGCTTTGCCCCACGAGGAGGGGGCATCTGGGCTGAATCCTGATGGACACAAAAGAGCCATGCAGAGTTGTAGGGGGAGAGTGTGCCCAGCAGCAGTGAGGAGCAAACCTGACATGTTCAGGGCCAGTGTGGGCGGAGTGAGTGAGCAATGGAAGAATAGTTAGAAGTGAAGTCAGAGACGTGTACAGGAGCCAGATCACGTAACAGTGGAATGAATGAATGGATGAGTGAATGAACAAATACGTGCATGTGCGCTGTGGTGGAGCAGCTGCCTGAGTCTATGACTCACGGGTCAAGCACTTGTTCTGCTCTGGGCTCTGTTCTAAGCCCTCCAGACTGTCATCTCACTTGGTCCTTGTGACAACCCCATGATTTCCTGACTGAATCCATCAGGATGAGCTTGTTCTGTAGCAGTAACAAGCGTCTCCAAATACCTCAATGACTCAACACAGTCCCGGTTTATCCCTTGCTCCTGCTACGTGGCCATCACAGGGTTGGCTGGGGGCTCTGCTCTGTGTCATTCTTGCTCAGGGGCCCAGGTGCCGGTCATTTTTGGCCATGTCGAGTATTGCATTGTTGTTGTTATAGCTGCCGTTGAGTTGGGGACCCCATGCACAGCGGAATGAAAGCTGCCCAGTCCTGCAGCATCGCCAGGGTGGGTTCGTGGTTGGACCATTGTAATCCATGGGCTTTTCATTGGCTGGTTTTTGAAAGCTGCTCCCCGATATCCATTCTCCTCTTCTTCCCTCCCTGGGTTTTACTACTCAGAAAAAAGACTACACTTCCCAGCCCCTTGTAGCTGAGACATGACAAAATTCTGGGGTATGAGTGATGTGCAGCTTCAGGGAGGTGTCCCTAAAGAGAGGGTTATCCTCCCTCCCTCAGCTGGAATGTAGACGTGATGGTTGGCGCTGCCACAGCCAGCATGGGCAATGAGGTAAAAGCTGTACGTTAAGGGTGGTGGAGTAGCAAAACAGGATTCTAGCTTCTTGATGACCTGGGGTTTCCACACCGGCCCTGGCGTGGTTACTTTTACATGAGGAAGAAATGAATGATTTAGTCCACTGATTCTTGGAATTTCTGGTCACTTGTAGCCAGAACCTAAGCTCACTGAGTCAGCAGCAGAAGCAAATGGTACAAAAGGGTGCACGGTGAGACTTCTGCCCCTCCCCAGTCTCAGAGGGAACCACTGTTAGTCGTTTTTCTGTTTCCTTCCCAAGATTGACTATGCGGTTCCCCATATATGCAAATGTATATTTTTCTTTTTTTTTTCCCCCACTTATGGGAACATACGCTCTTCTGCACCTTATTTTTTTAAATTTAGCAATATGTCTTCGAGCTCTTTCCAGGTAAGTATGTAAAGAGCTGCCTTCTCTCCAACAGTGGCATCGTACCCCATCAGACAGATGTACCATTATTCATTTCATCAGTTCCCTGAAAACGGACTTACTACGCCATCGACAAGCTCACGTTGCCACAACCGCCCTGTGATTAACATCCCCATGCGTACACTTCTCGACCCTGGGAGTCTGCAGCCACAGGACACATACATAGAGGGGTAAGAGGGCTCTGCTTGTGTGGACAGAATTGCCAAATCACTCTACGCAGACATCGTGCCGGCGCTATAGCTGCAGCAGTGAGTCGGGGCGCGATTGAGGTCGAGGTTGGAAGTCCACAAACGACAATCAGATTGGAGCCCTGGTAGCGCAGTGGTTAAACGCTCACCTGCTAACCAAAAGGTCAGCAGCTCCAATCTACCAGCCGCTCCTTGGACACCCTATGGGGCAGTTCTACCCTGTCCTGTAGGGTCGCTATGAATCGGAATCTGCTCGACGGCTACTGGTTTTGCTTTTTTTTCTCCCTTCTGTCCCTGTGTCTGTTTGTCCGTGGGCATAACCTTATCTGGAGTCAGTGTCGAAAGTCTAAATGTGAGACTGGCCTTTCTGGAACATCTAACCTGGGACAGAGGGTCGCCCCCGCCAGCAGCGCTCTCCCAAGCACCAGCTGTTCTTCACGTGTGCCTGGGGGGCCTCTGAGAACCTCCCACATTCCTGAAGCGCAGGCCTAAAATCACACCCAGGTCTAGAAGCTTCCCCTGTGCTCACTGCCGCAGCCCCGAGAAGGAGGTGTTACTTACCTTGTCTATTTTACAGAGGGGGAAACTGAGGCCCAGAGACGAGGAGACTCGCCCAAGGCCCCTTGAGGGTGAAGCCTAGTTTCAGAGTAGGGGCCTGGCCTTTGGACTCCGGTCCAGGTGGGACGATGCTGTCTGCACAGCGTCTAGAATGCCCTTGAGGAGAGCAGGTGCCAGAGCCTGGGCCGTAAGCCAGGCCTTGCTGTAGCTGTTCTCCCATGCAACTTCACAGACACCCTGATTTCTATGCTGGGTCCAGGGACCCTGTCATTAGAGAGTGACAAGGGGGAGGGGGCTTCTTGAGATGAAAGGCTCTCTGAGGAGCTGGTGCTGTAGCTGAAATTGGCATATTGACAGAAAGTCAGTCGATGCAAAGGCCCTGTGGCTGCCGTGAGGATGAGCTGGGCCAGTGGGGCATGGCTGATATGGGAGGCAGTGTGGAGGCAGCAAGGCCGTTAGGAGCTCCTGGGGTGGTCCAGCCAAGACAGGCTGGTGGCGTGGACCAGCGGGTGGCCATGGGTATGGACTTGCGGGGAGGGAGAGGAAGCAGCTTGGCGGTGGAGCTGGATGTGGTGGGGAGGTGGGCGGGGCAGCATCAGCTGGCGTTTGGCCTTGGCTGGCGGAGCCACTCAGTGAGGGAGAGGGAGTGCAAGGAGTCGGAGAGCTGGGACCCTGTGCTGACTCAGGGATGCCAGCAGGGTCTGCCTGCCGTCACTGTCCTTCATGCCTCCAGCACGTCCTGCAGGGCGCATTACTCTGTCCCATCCTCTGGGCCCGCCTCGCCTGTATCAGGCAGCATCACTGTCGGGCGGCAGAGGCCGCAGGACACTCGCTAATTACTTTTCCAGGAACCGGTTGGGGAAGCTGCGGGCTTCTGGCCAGCGTGGCACTCACTCAGGAGCAGACGGAGGTTCACGGTCTGGAGCCCGCCAGGGTAGGAAAGACGCTGGATGAAGGCGTGGGGTCCCAGCCCATCTCCTTCCCATTATCCAAGCCCTTCGAGCCCCTCAAGGCATCCTGCAGGGCCTGCTTCCTGAGCCTTCGACTGAGCACTAGCACCAGCTGTCCCTCTGAGGGCCACACCAGCCACCCCTCTGCCAGTCCCCACCCCTCAGATGTGGCAGTCCTGGGCACAGACGGGAGGTACCCGCTGAGCGTCCTTCCTCGATTCCGGGTTGCCCAGGGACTCCCACCCACAGAGGCAACAGCATCAGTAAAAGCAACTTTGAAAAGAGCTTCCTAAGCCCCCCTGCCCCCTGGGTCTCTCCTTCTTCTTTTAAAAATTGAGGTGAGATTCACGTAATGTACGATTAGCCATTTTAAAAAGTACAGGTCAGTGACATTCGGGCCAGTCACAACGCTGTCTCCCACAGCCGCGGAAAGGAGGCGTGACTGACCTTGTCTGTTTTACGGAGAGGGAAACTGAGGCCCAGAGATGAGGAGACTCACCCAGGGCCCCCAGGGGGCGAGGTCGGGCCTCAGAGTGGGAGCTTGGCCTTGGGACTCTGGCCTGGGCGGGAAGATGCTGTCTGTCTACTCAGGACATTTCAAAGAAGTGGCATCAAACGGTATCGGACCTCTTGTGAGTGGCTTCTTTCTCAGCATAATGTCTTCAAAGCTCACGCGTGTTCTCGCGTGTATCAGCACTCCATTCTTCTTCTTTCCAAGGTGGACTTCACTGAGGGATAACTGACATGAACAAAACGCACACATGGAAGAATACACTGTGTGTCCACTACCCCAGTCAACACAGAACCTTTCCACCACCCCAAAAAGTTCTGTCCTCCTGACACCCAGTCAGTCTCTCTCCCCAGGCAAGCACTGACCTGATTCCTGATGCGCGTGATTTCTTTGCATTTTCTGGACGCTCACATCGCGGAATCATACAGTTTGTGGTCTTTTCTGTCTGCCTTCTGTCACTGAGGAGCCCTGGTGGTGCAGTGGTTAAGAGCTCGGCTACCAACCACGAGGTCAGCAGTTCGAATCCACCAGCCACTCCTTGGAAACCCTATGGGGTAGTTCCACTCTGTCCTGGAGGGTGGCTGTGAGTTGCAGTTGACTCGATGGCAATGGGTTTTCTTTCACTGAGCAAGGTCTGAGCCCCTCCACACTGTGGCCCAGGAGCTCATCCTTCTCATTGCTGAGCTCCAGCCCCAGGTGCTGTCCAGCCGACTCCGACTCACGGCGCCCACATGCACGTCAGAGTAGAACTCTACTCTGTAGGGTTTTCCAAGGCTGATTTTTCGGAAGCAGATTGCCAGGCCTTTCTTCCAAGGCCCCTCTGGGTGAGTTTGAACTGCCAACTTTTCTGCTAACTCTTTGTGCCACCCAGGGAGTCCCATTACTGAGTCATATTCAGGGAGTGGGTGGAGCGCAGTGGGTTTCTCGTGGCCTGTTGCTGGATACTGCGGCTGTGTGCAGCTTTGGCTGTCATGAATTAAGCTGTTAGGCACGCTCCTCCTGCAGGCCTTTGTGTAATCCTACCTGGGGTAAGACGACCGGGTTGTCCGGCAAGTGTGTTTAGTGTCGTAAAAACTGCCTCGGGGGCGCAGGTGCAGCCTTTCCCTCTGGGCTGGGGATGGGGAGGGCTGGGCCTGCCAGCCCGGGGCCCACAACACTGTCCAGCCCCTCCGGCTAGGGAGAGCTTTGTGAGGGTGGGGCTTGGAGATCCCACTGGCTGCGGCAAGTGGCCCCATTCTCATCCTCCCCTCCATTTGTTTCATAAACAGAATGGCTCAAGCCCCTGAGATTTGACCTTTGCTCTGAGGTGCTTTGCCTGAAGTCCCCTACCAGTTGTCTTAGAGTTGACCCCAACTCATGGTGACCCCACGTGTGCCAGAGCAGAACTGTGCTCCACAGGGTTTTCAATCTTCCATAAAAATTACAGCGTAGGAGACCCTGTGGGGCAGTTCTACTCTGTCCCACAGAGTTGCTATGAGTCAAAAGCGACTGGGTGTCAAAGGGTCTGTTTTTCTTTTTATAACAGAGACGCAAAGGCCCCTGAGCTAGTGAGAAGAGGTGCCGGGAGGGGGACTCAGGCAGTGTCAACCACTCAGCACGTGATGGGGTTAGGGGGTCGGGGTTGGAGGAGGGCCCTTCTCCATGTCCCAGCCCGCAGAGCTTCAACCCCTCTGAGAAGTGAATCCCCCTCCATGGAAGGGTGGGTTGAGGTGATTCTGAGAGGAATCGAGGAAGGCTCCCAGGTGTTGCGTCTTGTGTCCATGACTGCTGTTTCAAGAAAATTGCCCAAAACTTGTAAATAACGAGGGTAGCATGTTCTTCATCCTATCAGAACACTGTTTAATTGACCCACTGAGGATTACTTAATTATCTAGGGCAAGGATCAGGAAACTTGGCCCGCAGAGGACCAGATAGTAAATGTTTTGGTTTTGCAACTCTGTAGCAACTGCTTAACCTGGCCCAGAGAAGCACCAAAGCAGCTATACCAAACCAAACCCACTGCTGTGGAGTCGAAGCCAACTTGTAATGTCCTTATAGGACAGGGCAGAACTGCCCCACAGGGTTTCCAAGGTTGTGAATCTTTATGGAAGCAGACTGCCACATCTTTCTCCAGCGGTGTGGCTGGTGGGTTTGAACCGCCAACCTTTGGATTAGCAGCCGAGTGCTTTAACCACTGTGCCATCAGCTCCTTACAGAAGACAATAAGTAAGGGACTGAGCATGGCTGGATTCCAATAAAACTTTATTTGAAAAGACAGGCTTTGTATGAGAGTTATGTTTGTCACTTTTTGAAAATTATACTTGGGCACCATTCAAGTCAGGGCACTACGAGAATGTGGCCCTCCTGTTGTAAGGCATGGACACCACTCCTCACCCTGTCCGTGCCCATGGCAGCCATTAGTAACTGATCACAGAACCCTCCAACTTCTCAGCCTAAGCTTCTGGGTAGCCACTGGCCCTGTTGCCGTCGAGTCAATTCCAACTTATAGCAACCCTATAGGACAGAGTAGAACTGCCCTCATATGGTCTCCAAGGAGCAGCTGGTGGATACAAACTGCCAATCTTTTTGTTAGCAGCTGAGCTCTTAACCATTCTGCCACCAGGGCTCAGCCACTACCAGTCCCTTGGAGATGAAAGCCATTTGCCATTTCTTTTGGCATTGGAGCCTTGTCTGGGTGGGTGGGTGGAACCTCCATGAAAGGTGATGTGTGTTGAGGGTGGCCTCATTCAACCTCTTCTCCACTGTTTACCGCGCTCTGGGCCTCAGGCTGATCCCTGGAGATACAGAGATGAGCAAGACTCAGTCCCTGCCCTCAGAAGGTATGGAGGCCCAGGACGACAAAGAGTGTGGTGTTTACATTGCAGACACTGGAGCCAGACTGCATGGTTTCAATCCTAGAGCTGCTTCTTCTTGGCTGTGTTAACCTTGGGTCAGTCAGTTAAACTTCTCTTGTTCCAGTTTCCTCCTTAAATGAGAGTGATAACAGGAACCCACCTCCCAGGGTTGTTGTGGGCATAAGAGATACTTCCTAAAAAGCACTTAGAATGTTGCCTGGCATGTAGCAGGTATTAATTATGTTAGGAACAACGGGAGTGGAGGGAAGGATAAATAAACTGGGCCCAAGTATCAGGTGAACCCATGCCTCCTATCTCTTCTCCTTCAGCCTACTAGTGACCTTTTCAAGATGCAAATCCCATCTTGCCATCCCCTGGCCCCTCCTAGAGTTTAGGGTGAAGAGCTCCTTAGCTTGGCCTCCCTGCCCAGGATGGGCTGGGCTAGTCTCCTGCAAACTCCCTCTAGCAATCTCCACCCTTACTGCGCTACCCTCACTTCTTACTGACCTCTCCTTCTCAGCTCTTTCTTCAGTTGCTGTTTTAAGATCTTTTGTGCAGTGACTGCCCACTTTGCTCCCCTACCCCACGCCCACCCACTGAACTAGATGCCTCCTGAAGGCAGGGATTCTCTGGTTGGCACCCTGGCCACTCCGCTGCGCTGCTTAGCTTACAGTGTCTGTGTGCAGCAGGCGCTTGGTAAGTACTCACTGAATGAATGAGGGAATCAATGAACACGTGAATGAATGCTATGGCTGGCCACGTGGCACCAGGCACGTCTCTTCATTTGGAAAACAAGGGTGGGGGGCCAAGAGTCCTCTCGTGCCTCCAGCTGTAAAGCTCCTAGCGCCCAGTCCCGGGGAGGGAGTCTGTGTGCCCTGGGGCCTGTCGGGTGGACTCTGGGTGCAGGTGAAGGGCTTCTGGGAGGAGCTGGGTGCGGTTCCGCCCAGAGCAGCCGCAGCTCCTGCGCATGCGGTGGGGAGGGACCCGGCCGGAGAGCCTGCGTGTTCTTAGCAGGCTGGTGCCATGCTCCAGAACTATGACTGAAGGCTAGGGGTGATGTGGACTGTTTAGAATTACGTATTTGAAAAAGCAATGTTTGCACATTAAAGAACACAGTTTAAACTAGTTAACAGTGAAGAGGACAGACTTTCCATCCCTGCTTCCCTCTCCCAAAGCAACCACGGTTAAGTTTCCTGCCTGAGGTAAAATCCTGGCTCTTTCTCTTCCTAGCTGTGTGACTTTGAGCACATTACTTAACCTCTGTGGTCCTTTATTTTCTCATCTGTAAAATGTGCATATAATAGCACATACCTCACAAAATCATTGTAAGGAATAAATGAGTTAATGTACCTAAAGCACAGTGCCTGGCATATATATGCTTAGTAATGGGTTAGCTGTCACTGTAACAAGTTATATATACATGTGGATGTCAAATACACCCTCCCCTGGCTTTGTCAAAATTACAAACATTGTTCTGCATTCTTCTTTCACTTGAATTATAAGCCTTGGAGGACTCTACTTTTCAGCATACGTATGTATATATTTAACTCTGTGGCTAACGGCTGGGTGTTGTTATTCCATAGAATGGATGCACCATCATTACCGAACTTTTCGTGTCTGATGGACTTATGGGCTATTTCTTAGGTTTTGGTACAACCTTTCTGGCAGAGAGTTTGGCATTACGGTGCACAAGTTGAAATGGCATCGCCTCTAACGTTGCTATTCGTCTTCTAAGGGCAGTCCCGGCGCTTGGATACATATGCCACACGCCAGATGCTCTCGGAGCTTTGGGGTGCGACAAGGCAAACCATTCCGGCCTGCCGATGCAGGATGCAGGGCAAGTTTGCGGCTGGAGATAGCCTGGGAGGACCTTCCGCCCCCTCCGGGTCAGCTCATCTCCGCCTCTGGCCCCGCCCCACTCAGGCCACCTCATATAAGGCTCCGCCCCCTCCAGCCAACCCCGCCC